CTTTTGTGCCCCCCCCCCCCCCCCCCCCCCCCCCCACATTTCATATATTATGTGTAAATTCCCAGAATATGTATAGTTCATTGTCATGCTACTTGTTACTTGAGATCATTGTCATCGTTGAATCTGGCCTTTGCTATGGCAACTTGGAAGCGACAACTTGATATTCATCATTCCATAACAATGTGTTTGAATCACATGTCACAAGACTCACGAATACATTAGTGCAATCCCTTTTTTTTTTTTTGCGTACATTCAAACCATGAAATTTGTAATATAGAATTTTTATACAATTAATGCAATCCATTTTTCTGCATACATTTCAATTTGTAATGCATATTTTTTTAACAAAACAGAATTCAGGAGACGTTGTGCAAGATGATGAAATTTACATGTGTAAATTATTAAATTCGAAAACTCAATTATCAGTTGAAAACATTGTAGATAATCAATAAATGAACAAATCCACGATGCGAGGGAAGAAAAATAATCTGTAATATCATATTCGAACCAGTGAAATCCATCATAAACCAAAAACTTACTTCATCAACGTGAAGGATGCAGAATATTATCCAGACAGTCGGAATGCCTAAAGGATAGTAGATTGCTGTTGAAAGTGTATGGATTTTCGTACATCAAAATTGTATGATGTTGTTAAAAAAATTTATTTTTAATCACCGTAAGTAAATGACATCCTTGTAGTTGACATGATACGTAATATAATAAATTTGTAAAATATACAGAATGTTATTACAAAATAGAATTCAAGAGTTGTTTGTGCAAGATGATGAAATTTCCATTAATCAGTCAATTTCTAAATTCAAAAACATTCTGAATGGTCAATAAGTGAACAATTACACGGTGCTAAGAAAAACAATAATTTGTAATATCCTATTCGAATCCGTTTAATCCATACAAAGAAAAAAATTAGAATAATTATCGTGAAGGATGCAGAATATTATTCCAACAATTGGAGTTTTCAAAAAATGGTAGATTGTAGTTGAATGAGGATGAACTTTCATATATTTAAAATCGTATGATATTGTTAAAAGATTATTTTTCAATCATCATAAATGCACCGGGTGAGTAAATGTATGCCATCCTTGATTTAAGCACATTCAATAGTGCCAATTACATCTTTCAATTTAGGAAAATTCGTTTAACAGTAAAAAGAGTATTAAAATATGCACATTGTAGTATTTTCGGAAAATAAAGTATTTTATTGAAAAATCAGAAATATTATATATTTCGTAGGCATTCCTAAATTTTTCCCTAGAAAGAAAGCCCAATGAGTCTAAAAACCAAACAAAGAGCCCAATATTCTTACAAAGGGCTCAAAATGTAAGGGGGAAATTAGGCTGGGTACCCTCAAAAAGTAACAAATTAGATAATACCCCTAAAACTAATTAAAATCCTAACTCGAGCATTAAAAACATTCGAATTCCCAATTAGAAACTCCCAAACTCCCACCACAAATATACATTTTGCTTCCCACCATCAAGAAATGATCTCCTAAGTATCAGTGCTTAATTTATGTTAAGCATCGATGACATGATAAGCCATTTAATTGGGGAATAAATTAATGGTAGGTTCTATGTATTTAATGATTCACCAATAAAAATGTTGTACACAGACACACATATTGATGGAAGCACTCTACTTACTGTCTAATTACTCCCTTGTATACTGAAATATACTTCTGATCTAGTCAGTGTTGAGTGCATCCTCAACACCAATTTCTCTAGTTATGGCAAGATAAAAGTACTTGTGTAGGATAAAAGCGAAGGAAAATTAGAAAAACAAAGCACTCTACTATTTGAATGCAAAATGGGATGGCGTATCTTAATTTGGGTGTTCGTCGCTTTATTTACTCTTCCTTCACCGGTGCTCTCATCGGCCTCATTCTCTTCTAGAGTCCTGCAATACGTTGTGCATCTGTAGCTTTTGGTGCTGGAGTGGCTATTGAGTTTACATACGCAGAATGATATTGCAATTTTGATCAATCAACATAAAAAATTAACTCCTATGCCCAAAGCCCTGATTTGAAGGAAGGACACGACTGAAGACAACATTTGAAAGCAGATTTTCCATAGCTAGAGGCTACCACTTTCTTTTCTACTTCAATGGCTTCTTTCTAATGTTATAATCATTGACAGCAATACTGCCCTTTTTTTGTAACTCTGTAAACAAGTGGAGTGAGTATACATATACTCCTTCCATCCCAATTATATAGGCTGAGTTTATTTTTTCTCTTGTTCCAAATATATAAGCATATTTTCTAATTTAAAATATTTTGTTTTGTTCCTTTACCAATATATATTCTTATTCAATTTTCCACTTAATATGCCAACTTTTTGAAATAATCCAAATACACATATTCCCACATCTTGGAAACATGAAACAATTTTCATTTCTTCTTCTTCAAATTAAATCATTCAAATTCTTTACTAATTTCAACAATAATTTAGTATTACACACTAAAATTAAATAGGAGTAAATTAGGAAAAATCTTGGTAAAAATTAATTTTTCAATGACATAAAAGAAGATTTCTTAATCTTTGTGAAAAACGAAACAAGCCTATATAATTGGGACGGGGAAGTAACTGATTTTGTTCCTTTGTAATGGCTACATACGCCCAGAATTTCATGAAGTTTATCTTATTCTAATAATCTTATTTAACTCGAGCTGAAAAAAAAAAAGAAGGTACTTGTGTAGGATAACTTTATAGTGAATCACACGTCACTATATGTTAGAACACGGTTTGTCACTTTTTATTTTTTGTAACTCTTTCTGAATGTGTTACATTTTTTTAATGTTTGTCATTTTTTTAATCCTCTTTTTAAATTTCCATTACTTCTTCACAGTGACAAACGTCGCTTTTATTGAAAAGTGATTTAGCGCCCGTTCGTTTTTCATTTTTGGAAGAATAAGAATGAAAAATATAGTGATTACGAATCTCATACAAAAGATAGAAATTCAAATTTGATGATTTGATGTGATGAATAATAGTTATATTTTTTATTTTAATAAGAAATGAATGAGAACTAAATAGTGATTTAATATACAATTTTTATAAAAAAAATAATATTAAAGTCACTTTTTAATTTTGTATGGTATTCTGAACTTTCAAAAAACTGACCAGAGGCCCATCGTCTTCTACTCTTCTTCTTCATATTCAAACTAAGCGGCCGCCGGTCTCCTCTGTGAACGGTGTTCACTCTTACTGTATTTTTTTTTTCGTGCCATTTCCGCATCCCGAATCCCGCTTAATTCGGAGACAACCCGCAAACTAAATTTGAAATTTCAGATTTATAGTTTTCTCCAAATCCTGCCTGTTGGTACATTATTTGCATTCAGTCAGGTAAAAAACTACACAGATGCATCTATTATAGTAAATTATGGTGTACTTTTCCTTTTTGAAAAAATCAATTTTTTTTCTTCTGTTATACATAGTTAATGATATAGAATTTATTGTGCTGGGAATTGGGTATTGCATTTGTTGCAAGCAGAAGGATATTTGGATAAAATTTGTAGATGACTGCATTAACATAATTTTTCTGGGTTTTGTCCGCCGTAAGTTTTCCTTATTTGTCCAATGAAAGCGTGAGTGAAACTGTGAAAGGCTGCAGTCCACTCTGTAATCAGAACACGGTAAAGGTCCTTAAGGATGAATAATGCAGTGTTAATTTATTTTCTCCTTTTCACTTGTCCGGAGAATGACAGAATGTGTAACTCAATTAACTTAAATGTGGGAAAGGGTTTGCCCAAAGTCATTTTATTAGTGATTTTCTGTGGAACTCGTTTAGTGGATTCCCTATCGAAACAAGTTCAGTCTGTTGTCAATAACCCTGAACCGAACAGGTTTTTGCCAACAACAGATTTAGGAGTTCCAAGAGCAAATGACGTAAACCTCCTGAAGCTCTCTAATTAAATTGATTCAAAGATAAATTCAATTTTTAACTTTCTCTCCACATATAATTTATTCTGCAGAGTCCCACAAATTATTTTCATCGGATTTTACCATGCTTCAAGGGCCTTCTTATTCTTCCATCTTTTGTTTATGGTTTTTTTGTTTGAACTGTGAGGAAATTTTGGTCATTTCTGGAATTTCAACTGCATGCACGTACTTGCATGAATGCACAGTTTACATATACATTTGTATCATTGACTAGTTTATCTACGCATACGCATGTTTGATGATGTCTTTTTTCCAGTGTTAGAAAATGAACAATTGGCTCTAGGTTCCATTTATATAGATATCATAGTGAAGAAAATGTAGGGCGTATGGTAACTCTTTGGATTTCTTAGTTGTTTAGGTCATAATGTGCTGTGATTTTTTACTTGTTCTGGTGTTCAACTCTGTTTAAGAATTTTTTTGGGTTTAACCATTGTTTGGTCTGAGTGGAAGAGTCTTAGAAATGGTTTTATTCGTCCTTCCTTCCCTTTGATTGTCTCATACTCTTTTTAAGTTTCAAATTACTAAATATTATCATGGATCTGTAACCAGTTGCTGCATGCATTGTTTTTCCGTTTTCACGCTTCAGATAATAAATCGTCTCCCTCTCTCCTACTCTCTGGGCAATTTGAATGGGAAAAGGCACATTTTGGTTTATGGTTGACCTGTCTAGTTTTGATTATTGTGATAAATAGGCATATTAGTCGTTCTCTTTATTCTTGTCCCTGAAGTATCATCATATGGCTGGATGCAGTTCTACATAACTGTTTGCCATTCATATGATTGTGAGATTATCTTAGTGAAAACGAGAGAGAAACATGAATATCAAATGAGGAAAATTATATAATTTTTCATTAGTTTAGACTATTTAATTCTTCGATTTTTCTGCATTTGATTAGTTAATGAATCTTTTTTGAAATGGCCTGAAATGTGCATCTCTATATTATTTAGTTGAATAAATTTTGGTCTTGGTGAGAAGTGTACAACTGATAAATGTTATAAATGACTGTTGGCCAGCTTACGTAACGGAGCCATTTAGAGAGAAAAGATGCCTCTTTACGACTGTATGCTTTTGTTAAAGCCCCATGTCAGGAAGGAGGCCTCGATGGAATTGGTTTCCCGAGTTGGAAAGCATGTTTATACGAAAAATGGAGTGGTTGCTGAGATGAAGTCTTTTGGAACTGTTCAATTGGGTTATGGTATCAAGAAGCTTGATGGAAAATACTATCAGGTAAACAGTTTTATTATTGTCATTGCACGTTTAGTGTTTGATTGGGTTTTATTTTAAGTTGTTGAAATAGGTAGTAGTTGTGAGTCTTACAAAATTTGTGGTTAAAATTAAAGTTTGACTTTGACCTTTAAATTATAAGGGATTATAATGAAAAAGAAACAAGCTTATTTCCTTGTACTAAATTTTGTTCTATGCGCCCTTTTTGGTACATCACATTAGACTACTACTTTCTGATTAATGCCGTGTCAAATGCTTACGTTGTTTTTACTTCTCTATATCCAAATTATTATTATTATTATTATTATTATTATTATTATTATTATTATTATTATTATTATTATTATTATTATTATTTATATATATTATTTATTTATTATTTTTTTACATATTTGCAATTTGTGACATTGTTCGAAGTTTAGCTATATCTTCCAAAATACAATCTTTTATCTATTAATGAAAGAAAGTTGGGTGATCCACTGTTTCATTCAGAATACTTTTGACATTCAGTTTATTTTAAATAATGCTGAGGTCCTTTCGTGATTATTTGTAATATGTCAGAGGTGAATTCTCATTGAATCTCATGACGTATCTATATCATTTTTGTTGTCCCATTCCACCTTGCTCCTAGAAAAGAACCTCTTCGGAAGTACAAGGTACAATTAGAGACAGAAATGGCAGCACGAAATACATACTTATGTTGAGGATGAGTTGTGAAGAAATGTTACAATTAGAATCCTGGATCATCAGTTGTACCTGAAGTTCTCTTATAATATGGGTGTAAATCTTTCAATTGTCTCCATCAGAGTATTTTGACAAGTTCCTGTGAAAACTCAATTATCACTTGGAATAATTCACTAGACAGGAAGTCAGATTTCTAGAATATATGATTTCATTCCACTAATGAACTTTGATTACAAGGAAAGTAAATTTGCTAAGGGAACGAGTGAAACAGAATTGAAAGAACTGGAAAATTGAATAAACTAAACAAGGGGTATTTGGCTTTTCGAGAGTGCCAATTCTCTCCTAAATGACCACCAATTGTTGCCTGCCTATCCCAGAGCACAATCCCCCTATTTATAAGAGGTTTTGCCTCCAGCTGCCTTAACTGAATCCATAACTGTGCATGTGCCAACCTTTTCTTTTATAGTTCCTGAACTGCCTTCGCTTGATTTGTTGCGCCTCTGATAAGTCTTCCATATAGAGGGCCTAACATATTTCTGGGTGTTTTGTAATTTTTGAAGGACTAAAAACAGAACTACTAATCGTTTTGGTAATTTATACCTAAAGTTTTAATTTGTAATCCTATGGGTTGGCTTCATTATCAAGCATCTAGCTAAAACTAGAAGGTCTCAAGCTCAAGTCCCCCCTTCCCCCGATGTGTACCTCTCCTTATTTAATCATCAAAAGAAGACTACTTATCTTAATCAATGAAAAGGATTTGCCTCGACCTCTCTTTAAAGAAAGAATATGTTCCCTCCTTCTCTCAACCTCTTTCAGAACTTCTCTTCGAACTAATAACTATACTCATCGTATGCTGAACTCCTGCTCATTTCTAGCTAAGGTACTCAAATCTTAATCTTGGAGACATATAATGGTGTTCGGTTGCTTTTTTACTTTTCATTTTCTAGTCTTATCTATTGCTAGCATGGTCTTTCACCAGGAAGAAGTAGCTTTGAATGGGCAAGATATTCTCTTTCTTTTCTTTTTCAGGAAAACTTCATCACCCTATTGATAGGCGTTCAAATTTAAGCAGGAAAATATTGTTTCCTTTCTTAGTGGTAATGAATGTGATCTTGGCTGACTTCCATTTTAGTTGATATGAAAACATTTTTTTATCTGAGTGTTGAATTTTATTTTTATTTTTAAATATGCCAATGCCAGTTTACTTCGTCAAAAGATTAGGATATCTACATCATAGAATGTTTTTTAGTTGATAATTTATCATTTTTTCTCTTTCTTTTTCTTTTTCTTTTTCTGGTGTCCGATTTTTCTCCTCTCCCCAGAAACTGGATTTTGGATTCAATCACATCCGAATTTTGTATAATTTCCCTGCTTTATAAATCGATGCCGAAGTTATGAACCTGTTCGCTCCTTTTATGGATTGAAGGAAATTTATTTACACGGATTACTGATTCTATAAATATCATTTTAGGCCCAACTGATGCAAATGACGATGATGGCTCCACCGAGTATCAACAGTGAGATGCTGAGGTACCTGAACAAGGAAGACCGGTTGCTTCGCTGGCTCTTGGTTAAACACCGTGACATCAAATATGGACTGGAATTTTTGAGCGAAGATGATGCTAAAAATGAGCTCAACAGGTTCAAAAGCAACTTATATGACTATGATAACACCGATGAGGATGAAGACGACGAAGATGAAGATGATGAATATCAACCAGAGACAAAACATGCCTGAAAAATGGTGTCACTCACCAGGAAAGATGAAACTGCATTATTTTTTGTGGTATTACTTTTGTTTTTTCCCCCATTTTGAGCCTATTTGGGAGTGATTTTGAGAATTGATTTTTTGACCGTTAAGAGAAAAGTGGGGTCCACCTGTGAGAAAAGAAGTCAAATATAACGTTTGAAATAGTGAAATAACGGTCAAAAAATTAATTTTTTGGGTCAAAAAATCAGGCCCAAAGAGGCCCTTTATGTGGTTTCGCAAAACAGTTAAATCGGACTTTTAAACGAGCTACTATACTGCTCTGAACTGCAGTCTTATCAAATAAATGTTTTCAAATGTTAGTTATTGGCACTGATTTTAGCTCTCCACATACAATAAGAACATCTTATGCATTGTTTCTTATTTTTAATAAAAAGGGGAAAGAGAATCTATTATTGATGCAATAGTAAATTAATACAATTTTATCATGCATGATGTCATTTTTTATTTTCCATTTTATTTATCTCAAACAAATATTCTTCAACACATCATATTTCTAGCATTAAAAAAATAATTATGTGAAATAAATATTTTTCCACACATCATGCTACTAGCATTAAAAAAATAATAATAATTTTAGTAAATATAAATTGTTATGAGGAAAAAAAAACTCTTTGCACGTGAGTTTTTTTTAAAAAAAAAATAAAAATAAACTCTTCGCCGCACAGTGCGGAGAAATGACAAATCATGTGCAGAGAGTTGGCAAACTCTCCGTACAGTGCGAAGTTAAAAATAAATAAATAAATAAAATCTCCACACAGTGATTGTCACGTGCGTTGTACGATTTTTGCATTTATCGTATTTTTATTAGTGTATGAATTTTAGTTTTTTGAAAAGTTTTTGAAGTAATATCTAGAAATATTTTCATGATATAAGAAAATAATTGCAAATTATTTTTACAATTGCATAACAGTATTGTGTCATTTAGAAAAAAAATATTTGTATATTTCATACTTGAATGAGAAATATATGAGATTATATAAATTATTTTGTTTGTATTCTTTGATATTGTTAATATGATTGAGTTGAATATGAAGATTATATTTCTAAATTTTGTGTAATTCAATATTGAAAAATTGAAGATTGAGTACAATATTCATATACATTTATATTTTGTGTTTCATATATATTTAATATTTATTTTATGCTTATGTTGAAAAATAAAAATATGAAATTTTTTTTTTGAAATTCGGTTTGGTAAGTGAATACACGATATTCTGTATTCTCGATTTTTGTAAGTGCAAAAATTGGTATATAAAAATATAATAAGTTGCAAATACGGTAGGTAGTATATACGGTAAGTTGAAAATACGGTAAATTGTTTGCAAATACGATAGGCTACAAATACGGTAAGTTGCAAATACGGTAGACAGCATATAAGGTAAGGTGCAAATACGTAAATTGTTTGCAAATACGATAGGCTGCAAATACGGTAGGTAGTATATACGATAATCTATATATGCGGTAAGTTGCCTGCAAATATGGTAAGCTGCATATATGAATTTATATTTTGTTATAAATCTATAAAATAAATTTATTATTGAATTTCTTAAGTATTAAATGTTGTAATTCAATATTGTTTTCTTTTTTATAATTATATTTTCGAGAATTAAAAAAAAAAAAGATTATGAAATTGCTAATTTTTAAATGTATTTTTTTGTTGAAGATAAAAATGATTTTTTTATGTTATTTGTAAAAAAAATATTATTATAATTTTATTAGCGTAATAAGAAGATTTGTTATGCATTTTTATTTTTTGCATTTTGTGAAGAATTTTATTTATGGTGATTAACAAATATTCTTCCACACATGCATCATGCTAACAATATTAAAAAAAATAATTTTAGTATATATAAACTCCATAAGATAAAAAAAAAAAAATCTCCGCACATTACCAAAAATTAAAAAAATCCGCAAAAATTTTTGGGACTTTATCTGCAAGTTCTAAAAGGCCTTTTCTCAAACAACTTTTGAGCAATGCATTGAACACTTTAATTCCTGGCCTATAACCCGAAAGTATAATTTCATTGAAAATTGTATCCGCTTCTAATATCCAAGAGTTGTTATTAAGCAAGTGTAAAATATTGAATTTAGGTGATACCCTAAAGCCTTCATTTGTGAAAGCAATGCTACGATACTATCAATATCCTATTCTTTGCACAACTCACATATTGTTTCATTGTATGAATCACGAGAAAGCTCATTTCCAATACCGTAAATATTATTTGCATGCTCAGAAATTGTGCTGTAATTGAAATTTAAAAAAGACATAATTGATTTTGAGCCATATTTTTAGACTCTGTTTCGTTTTATATACAAAAAATTTACAATTTTAAAATTTGACTTGTAATTAAGAAATTTGAAAACAACTATTCGCACTGTGCGGAGAGTTTTTTCTCTCTGTACTATACGGAGAGTTGGTTTGTTATTTCTTCGCACTATGCGGAGAGTTTCTTTTTTATTCCGCACTGTGCGAAGAGATTTTTTCTCACCTCTTCACACTTTTTTTTTACTCCGCACATGGTTTAACTCTCTACGCACTGTGCGAAGAGTTTTGCCATGGTGCAGACCAACTCTCTGCACCGTGCGAAGAGATTAACTCTTTCCGCACAATGCGGAGAGTTTTTTCTTTTTGCTCTCCGTATTGTGTGAAGAGTTGGTTTGTCATCTCTCCACACTGTGCGAATATTTATTTTTTTTACACTCCGCACTGTGTGAATAGTTTGCCAACTCTCTGCACATAATTCAACCCTCTCTGCATTGTGCGGAGATTTTTTTTTCTCTTCGCACTTTTTTTATTTTTATTCCTCACTTAGTTCAACTCTCTTCACACTGTGCGAAGAGTGTTTTTTTTCAATTTTACAATATTTAATTACACAAAATTTAGAAATATAATCTTCATGTTCAATTCAATCATATCAACACTATTAAAGAATACAAGCAAAATAATTTGTATATTTCTTATTCAAGCCTGAAATAGATAAGCATATTTTTCTAGATAACATACTGCTATGCAATTGTAAAAATAATTTGCAATTATTTTCTTATATCATGAAAATATTTTAAACATTACTTCAAAAACTTTCCAAAAAAACTAAAATTCATACACTAATAAAAATACAATAAATACAAAATTCGTGCAACGCACGTGATAGCGACTAGTTCTTAAATAACTTGAAGATGGTCTCAGGATTATTGTGCATGGTTCAAATACAGTTTCAAGTACAAAATTGCAAAGGTGAACAATGTTGCATATACAAGCTAAGCCTCGTCAAAAGAAATCGGTACCTCTTTACTCACCTCATTCCGGTGGTACCCCTTGTGGCAACCACAAACGGTGCAGGTAAGTGCCTCAGTCGTCCCCTCTTCTCCACTGGGCGTGACCTCTTTGCATCCATCCATGGAATACCTCTGGTAAATGGAATGATTCTTGTTACATGCTGTATAGACCACTTCGGTTGTGTACTTAACAGGCGCATATTCCTCAACCTTTATGTGGAAATTCCTGTGGCAACCATAGATTGCACATTCCAATTCATGTTCCCCTTGGCTTGCCATGAACTCTTGACATCCGTCCCCTTTTCCGTAAAGATCTGAATGGATTTTACGACAATCTGCATCAGACGCTGTTTTTTCACCCATGTTTCAACTAAGCAAAGCAATTTCTCTCTCTGTTGGTTTTCAGAAGGATGATATCGATAAAAGGGGAATAGGCTTTGGTGAAGAGGGAGACTTCGACGAAAAGTTATTGGCTCGTAAAGAATTAAAGATTCCATTTTGCCACTAAACTTTGTAGACTTTTTTTTTTTTTTTTACAAGGTGTCCGGGCTTGCGTCCGACTAGATCCTTGTCCCTGAACCTCCGGCCCCTCAGCAGCTCAGGGAGGTAAATCGCAGGATGTGCCCTTGTTGGCTCCCAGGTTCCCACAACTCATTTGGACTCCTTCCGCAAAGAGAGCTCTCTTCGCTGGGCGTTTGTTCAACCAAATGGCAAACTGTGTAGGGTAAACTTTTTAAAGTGACTGGCCCCACCGCACTGCGGCCCCATACTCCAGAAACCCCACCTCCGGCCTGGCCCTACGGGTTAGTATACACCGCTTGGCCCTACACGTATGGAGGGATTTTTTGGAGAGGCACAGTACCACCATGCTGGTAAGAGGACTCGAACACGGAACCTCAGCCAGCAATGCCAATGTCCTTACCACTAGAGCAAATAGACATCGGCCTAAACTTTGTAGACTTCATCCTCCTAGTGGTGGATCTAGGTGGTGGCAAGTTAGGGCGGATTCGTCGTAATCGTCGGGAGCCCTTCTTTTTTTTTTTTTTTGCAATAGATTAAAATTTTAGGTTATATTGCTGGTAATTCGGTTAATTCTCTAGCACTTCTTGTGGCTCACTTAGTCAGAACTTGAATGTATATAGTGCAGGTCTCGGGTTCGAATTTTTTTATCAACAAACTTATTGTGTAATAATATTTAAATTCTACAATTTTTGTCAAAATTCAACAAGGTAGGGGATCAAACAAGATTCGAGCTTGTGATATCTTGTTAGAGGTATTATAAACTTGATCGTTATAGCATCCATTGAATATTAGCAATAAGTTTGACAAAATAATATTTGTTAGGTTCTTTTTGTTGTAATGCGAGTACAATTGTAAAGATTCGAATTCGTGCTCTTCCTTTAAACTATACAAAACTTGGCACAATGTCATTTAATGAGTCCGTTTATTCTTATAACATAATTACATATGTTTAATTTGAACAAAATAATTGTCAATATTTAAACTTTAGGCCTTATTTTATTCCTTTTTTTTTTCAAATACATTTTTTTATCTATTCTTTTCAACCACATATTCTTCAATAAAATAATATTACACGCAGATTCAATTTTTTATTTTTATTTTTAGCCTTACATTCTTCATCAAATCACTATTACAAAATGCATTTTTTTTTTTGGCAAAATATAGGTATCAAACGTACCCTTAATATTTTATTGCGGTTGATGGTAAACAGTCAACGATCACTCGTGCTGACTCAAACTTCTAGTTTCACCCTGCATCCACCCCCCAATTCTGTCCTCCGTCATTTTTTGCCAAACTAGGTGACA